ATGTGTTAATCTTGGAAAAAATTACTCCGTTTGGGATAACAGAAAAGATAGCGAAATGGAATGTGATTAGAGTCCGTGGATGCAAGTCTCTTGAAGGTGTCACTCATCAGGTCATGCCTGATAGGATTGAATTTGGCACTTACGCCATTGCTGCTGCTATGACCAATGGTAGGTACCATGTTATGGCTTTAAAGAAACACCTTTATCAGTTTTAAACAAATCTCATACAAAGTCCAGGAAGGGGAAGGGACGCCGGAACGATGTAAAGGCAAGGGGGGGCAGATTTTCCTGAAAGGGCACTTTTGAATTGATATCTGACTAAGAGATGCTGCAAAATATCGAGAGTTGAACTTCGCCTAATCATGTTTTCGATTTATTGGATGATAGGGGTGCGAGGGGGTTCTCCGCCAGGCGATTGTGCTATTCTTGAAGCTCGATGACTGCATTCATTTCTTGCGTTTTCTGAAGCAAATTCGTAAAAGAATCACATGCACTAACATTTCTGACAATTCGTTATTCCGCCAAGGCAATCCTTTAAATTGAAAGGGCATCTTTGCCCCTGCTCCTCCTGGTAAAGGGCAACGGGGGCGGCTGCCCCTCCGGCGTCCCTGGGAAGGGTCATCCTTAGTTAGTCCCGTGTTAGTACATGAAGAACTTGCGGTACTCGAAAGTGTGGTAAAAATTACCAAAAAATAGAGTAACAATTTAAATTACTTCTCAAAAAAGGTAATTATTATAAATTACAAATTACCTCCTTCAAAAGTAATTAATTACGAATGACGTGAAAGACACATGCTGTTACTGGGCAACCAAAACCGCAATAGTTGAGCGCACTATACGTCCTTTTTAGCGCCCTTTCCTATAAATTATCGCATTCTCAAACAGCCTTTCAAACTATTAATTTCAACGTACGAATTTAGGTAAAGTTGAATTTGAAGTTCCAGAAGACATGAAAGAAGACATGTTGAAGGCGATATGCCAGCCGCTTGATGCCGCTGGAGTTAAAATAGATCGCTACAGCCAATATGGCCTAATTGTAATCTCACTAAAGAATGGCACCATTACACCGGTTGATATCAAAACAGGTCCTTATCCTGGTTTTCCCACTGACCTTCTACCACAATGGGTGGCATTCATGACCCAAGCACAAGCCACAATGACAAAAGAGTACGCAATCATACATGATAAAATCTATGATGGTCGTTTCAACTATGTGGATGGTTTGAAGAAAATGGGAGCCGTAATTGAGAAAGTCAATGAAAGAGAGTATGGAGTGAAAGCAGGTACAATAGAGATTATTACAGTAATAATAGTACTAGAATATGTGAGGGGCAAAGGAGATATTAATTACCCCTGTCAGATTTTGTGATGAAATTGAATCATGGAGATTCTAAGCCCGTTTTACATAGTAAGCTCTATATATATATATTTGAAGCAAGAACTTCAGTCATTCGGCCTATAAGAAAAGCGAAGCCAAAATTGCGGAATTGCTGTCCAATACATATGAATGTTGTAAACAGGTTTAATACAACCCCCCCCCCCCAGCTATTCCATTTTTTTTCTAATTGCTAATCAAGTATTCAAATTATCAGTTGATAAAACCGTTATATTACTCCTTAAATCGTAGTCAAAATACGAAATTTCGGTACACTAGTAAAACAATAGAAAGAGACTGTCTAAAACTGACGTCAAGTAGCTCCATCTTTGGCTTTACGTTTTGGACTCGAGGTACAAAGCCTGAAAAAACATCAAATTCAACCAAAATTTGATATGCTTACCCATGACAAACTAGCCTGCTCGCAGGCTAATGACAAATGACTGCCTGTGCTTCCTGGCCAAAGTACTAAAGTAATATGGATTAGTCACAACTATAAGTCCTACAAGCTTAAGTTTAAAATAATGCATGTTATTTATGACAGGTTCAAAGCTGAACGGGACTCGTGTTGAGGCTACAGATCTTCGTGGCGGAGCGGCCTTAGTCCTTGCTGGTCTGGTTGCCCAAGGCTCAACAGTGGTACGAAAATTTGAATTCATCCAGCGTGGTTATGAAGACATGGTGGGAAAATTGAATAAATGTGGTGCCAATTTGAAGATCCTTAAAGAAACCCGTCCTGGTTTTCATGGTGGACCAGGCCATTTCTAACTTTCGTTAATTGTTACACTTAATTAATAATTGTTTACACTTCTATTTCTAACTTTTGTTATTTGTTAATCAGTTTCATTTAAGACATTTGTCACATTTAGCTTAGCAATTTAATCACGAAGGCCTTTCTAACTTTCAATGATCATGCCTATTATTAAACTTGTTCTTTGTTGTCTGCTATTAGTCGGAGGCATTAATTTAGAGCTTAGCACTTTTATCGTTTTCAGTCTATCTTTAATGTAAACGTTGTTGTAGTTTTCAAGCATTAAAATCTTCATTATTCATCACATCTGACTCGATCGTTCTCAGTCCAGTGTTGAATGATGGGTTCACCAAAGGTTAGAGCATTCCCATTTGCCCAGTTGCGAGGCCAGGGGAAAGGAAGTGGCTTGCAGCAGAAGAGCTTGGCGGAAGGGGTGTATAGGGGGCAAATGTTCCAAGAAAACTGCCGTTCTACAGCCTTCCAAACCTTGCCGAACATTAAGAATACAATTGATAGCCATCTAGAGACCACAGAATGATAAAAAAAATAGAAACCGGAGAGGATTTGGTTAAAATAACCAATTTGAATTGGTTATTTCAACCAATACGTTTCAGTTGCAGTGTAGCGTGGTATTAGACAAACTGCATGGCAGGGAAATATCAGGCACGATTTGTTTCTGCAACGTACAATTGTCGATATAATCGTGTAAAATCAGTGACAAAATTCGTGGACCGGTTAGGCTGAAAGAGTAACATAAACAGTGGCGTAACTACTCTGGGCTCAGACCGGGAGAACCCGGGGGCCCCCAACCTAAATGGGGGCCCCCAGGCTTAGGCGATAGAGCAAAAACATTGGTCAGGGTCTCTGATATGTTAGAATGTCGTTTTATGACCATCAGAATTCCGTAAAATCTCTCCCCAAAGTCCAGGAAATGGCATTTCAGAGAGTCTAGATTCAAAAATTTTCCGGCTGAGCATGCTCTGGACCCCCTAGAAAACTTCTGCATATATGCCAATATGGCGCTCGACTCGTGCCTCTTCTACTAGGGGGGGCCTTCGAAAATGTTGAACCGGGGGCCCCCTGATATAACGTTACGCCACTGAACATAAACCCTCTTCCCCCATGTTGGCATGTTCAATATGTGTAACTAAATTTACATTTTATCTGAAGTGGCTTTGTCGTCCATTGTGTCGTTGCTTAGTCTGAAAACAGAGCTACGTTTCGCCCTTTCCGTCGACCCGCGAATTTTAGGGCGGGCGTAACGTAGGTCTGTTTTCAGGCTAGTCGTTGCTCAGCCGACATAAACCGCTACCATTGAAATTGAGGTTAGACACTTTCAAAGTGTCCTATACCCGATTCATTGTCGCTGATTATAGCTGATAGTCTTGTCTTCTTTATTACGACGGATGACCCATTTACGTGTATAAATCACTGACAGTACTCCCGTAATTTTTTTCCACAGCCGGCCCAGGGAAAGACCCTGAATTTGCATATGTTTTAAAAATATAAATGTTTTGGAGCACGGCATGCATCCTAGCATTAAAATTTGAAAAGTATGACACTTTAGAAGGTTAAATGTTAAAAACCTATATCATTAAGTATACTGATAAAATGTGCGCCTTTACATTTGAAACTAGGGATTAAAACGTGTTATACATGCTTCACATAATCACATTTCAAATTTTCCAAATCAAAATATAATATATTATTCTTACATCATAGTTGCGCTCTCCTGCGGTTAAACTACTGCCGATTATTGCCAAGCATTGCACAAATTTTTTTCATGAATCACTCTACAAAAAAACTAATCGAAAAAATTCCCTGCAATTCGAAAAAATTCCCTACCATTTTTTCCTGTTTATAAAAGCGAGTCGAATTGTTAGGTTCCTTCATAGCGTATCTACGAGTAGAACAAAAATTGTTTCAAACTGATTGAAAAATATATAGTCTCAAAAATGTCTGAACTTATGGTAGCGGGAAAACCTAAACTCCAAGGCAGAATCAAGATTTCTGGAGCAAAAAATGCCGTTCTGCCACAAATGGCAGCGAGTTTACTGACGAAGGAAAAAGTCACTTTAACGAACGTGCCTGACATTACTGATGTTAGGGATATGATAACCACCTTAGAGGCGTACGGGGTATCTGTACAGTCTAAAGATTGGAACGAATTTAATGGCGGTACTTTAGAACTACAAGCAGGTATGCTGGTCGCGTAAGGTCTTAATGAACGGTATTATTTTTCAGGAACTTTTTTAAAATTTGAATTCTAAGCGAGTTGATAATGTAAGGTCAAGGTATTCTTAACATTTTCTCTTTTTCTTTGGGAGGGAGAGTAATTTAATACTTGTGAGTCACAACTCTAGGTGGGTCCGCGGGGCATGCCCCAGTGAAAAAATTGTGGAGGCACTTGGAGAAATATGTAAAGGTCTTAAAAATCACTTTTTGTCAATTGGCAATTTAATTCAGTGGGAGACACAGTCACATAGAGCGTTATCGTATTTTCAGATCCGCCACTGGTATTTTGATTTGCGATATACCTATTTTACTTCATTTTAAAGGTTAGGAATTTTTGGTTTCGTACTGGCTGAAGTTCTCAGTGTTTTAAGGATTTTTAAACACGTCAATATCTCGACTTTTACTAGAATAGACTTGTCATCCTATTGCAATAGTTAAGTGTTGTGTGAAAACCAGCATTACAGGGAGGGTTAGCCCCTTCCTCGTCCCCAGGGCCACGCTTGCTGAGCAACAAGAGGGCTAGCCCTACATATAGGAATTACCAATGGCTCGTTAACTCAAAATTCGACTGAAATTTCGACTGAAATTTCGAAAAAATGCACTTGAGTTGAGGTTTAAAAACTTAATAACGTTAGCCATATTGTTAAAAGTTCAGTGAAGATACGGAAACAATAGTATATTTATTACCTACAGCGAACAGCGTTCTATTGATCACTTCTACTTGCCGGCTATGAAACTAGCAATTGCAATTACTCGGCTAGGCAAGGTAGACTGATATATGTTAATTACTGTACTCATAGGCGTAGCAATGTGCGTTTTTATGAAAACAATTACACAAATCATAATATATCGTAAATTAATGTACGCAAACGATTCTCAAGTAAAAAATCTAGCTAACACCACGCACGTAAAGCTTAATTCCCCATTTTAAAGATTCTCCCTTTTACATGTAAAGATTTCCCCTTTTAAAGATTCCCGATTCCTCGATTGCCCAATTCCCCAATTCGCCGATTCCCCAATTCTCCGATTTCCCAATTCCCCGTTCCCCCTTTTAAAGATATCCTCAGACTGATACATGTTAAATACTATACTCATAGCAGTGTGCGTTTTTATGAAAACAATTACACAAATCATAATACTATTATAGTAAATTAATGTACAAAAAAGATTCTGAAGTCCAGAATCTAACTTCACCACGCACTTTAAAGCTAGATTTCCCCGTTTAAATATTCCCCCTTTTAAAGATTCCCCGATTTCCCAATTCTCCAATTTCCCGTTCCCCTTTTTAAAGATAGCCCTAGACTGATACATGTTAAATATTATATTCATAGGCATAGCAGTGTGCGTTTCTGTGAAAACTAGTACACGAATAATAATATAGGCCTATCGTAAATTAATGTGCGAAAAAGATTCTGAACTCTGAAGTCAAAAATCTAAAAGGCACCACGCACGTAGAGCTAGATTTTCCCTTTTAAAGTACCACCTTTTAAAGATTACCCCTTATAAAAATTCCCTTTTAAAAATTCCCCGATTCCCATTTCCCACTATTAATATCCTCAATTCCCCGTTCCCCCTTTTAATAATAATTAAAGACATAACAACTCATGCTGAAATCTTGATAAACTGGAAGGTTTGGCTGGTTAACGAAAATTCATTTTGTTCGGTGTAGTGTTTCATAAAAGTATAAACATTGTTCGCTTCCAGTCGCCATTTCATACAAATATAATTAATTGTTCAAGATAAGCTTTAAGACCGCTAAAAGAAATTCGTCATTGAAACTTAAGCCGTTGAGGTTTAATTTTATTTGGATTTACAAAAAAGTGATTCATGTTAACAAGGTTTCAGTTGGTTTCAGCAGTTTGCGATGTGTCAATGAATCGGGCAAAGTCAAGGGCGAGATCAGCATAACCCGGAATTCCAATTCCTCGATTCCCCGTTCCCCGGCTTTTAAACATAGCTGCTCTTAATTATCATCATGACCTATAGCTATTCACTGTAAGCTAAATTTCACAGTGAAATTTTAAAATCGATCATTCAAGATTCTTTGCCATATGCTTGATTTAGCATCACTAAGACGTAATAACAAACTACTACACCTTGCCTGGATATTGCTAAAATATACCAAATTTAGTTCGAACTATGTCGAGTACTTTGACCTTCCGGCCTAAAACAAGCCCCAACTGGTCCTACATGTGCATGGGGTTTCTCCTATATTCTTAGAAAAGGATGACCTCATTTCTATTAAGCCAAAGGATGCATGATTTGTTCCTCCTACAAGGCTGAATAGTAATTGCTTTAATCGCGCTATTCTAACTACTTCATCCAAATACCCATTTAGGTGTATAAATTATTGAAGTAGAAATACGGAATAAGACAAACCATCAGGAAAATACATATACGATTTGTCCCTAAACAATTGCCAGTATATAGAACGCCTTATTACCATTGCCAGTTTGTCGGTGTTGTGTTTAAACTAGATTTATATGCTGTCAGAAGTTTGATACATATCTTAACACGGCTTATTTGCATGTAAGTCTAGTATAAATCACGACAGTGTATATTAATTAAAGAGCCGATATGTTATGTTATATTAAAATTTCCAATAAATAATATTATTTTATTTTTGGTAAAGTATAAAAGTTTTATACGAACCGAAATAAGCCGCGGCCTCAAAGTCTCGAACTACTCGAATTTGTTTGCCAAGCTATAGCCTAAATAAGCCGCGGCTTGTAGCAAATTGATTATTTATACGAGTCATTCACGATTTTTTAATGGTTTCACATAATTTCTCCTGCAGTAGGACGTACTATGATAGTTTTAAGTGAAAAGGTGGATATTTTATTAAAATTTTAAATGAAAAGGTTATTAATATTCTACCTTCAAAAAGTGTTTATATTCTGAAATTTCATGCAAGAGTGCATACCGCAACATATGCAAATCTAAATTCGGCGGGGTTTTCCCAACTCAAATTATTTTCTTACATCATCCGGACGTGAAAGCGCTTGCTGCGAAACTGCATAATTAACTGCAAGCCTTGCAATATTTTTTGAAATGAGTCACAGACACAGTAAAATATTTTCCCTTCGATTACATTTTTTGCCAAAAATAAATCCCCCTCTCCCATTTTCTGCCTATAAAAGCGAGTGAAATTGTTAGGTCCCTTCATATCGCAGCAATTTATCAACGAGTGTTCAGAGTATAAAAATTGCTTCAAATTGATTGAAAAATATATAGTCTCAAAAATGCCTGAACTTATGGTAACGGGAGGACGTAAACTCCAAGGCAGGATCAAGATTTCTGGAGCAAAAAATGCCGTTCTGCCACAAATGGCAGCGAGTTTACTGACGAGGGAAAAAGTCACTCTAACAAACGTGCCTGACATTACTGATGTTAGGGATATGATATCGACCTTAGAGCCGTACGGGGTAACAGTGAAATGGGACAAACCTAATAGTACTTTAGTACTACAAGCAGGTATGTCGAACGTGTTAAGTTCATGCGAAAGAGGGCAAGATTTTTCAAATATTTTTTAGGCCATTATACATGTACGCGGAGATTTTCAGTTAAGATTTAGATTCGAACTATATTGTATATTTAAAAGCGAGACGTTGATAATGTAAGTGATTAATTCCAATTCTTAGGATTTTGCAATGGATTTTCGGGATTGACTTGACTTGTTAAACAGATTAACGACTTGCGACTTGACTTAAACGTACAGTCGTGTAAATATCTAGTGAAAATCAAGATCTACAACTTAGCCAGATTGGCATATCTCCCCCCATTCATGGTAAAAAGTAGAACTTGCGACTTGACTTACTACCCTTGGAGTGAATGACTTGTGACTTGGACTCTATTGCAATAGTTATGTGAACAAACCATGCTTTCTATACCAAAGTCGTACATTCGTGACATTTATTAACTTAATTGGTTTTTCTTCACATGTAGGGAGCCCAACATCTTCACTACCAGGAACCAATGCAGGAGCCGAGATTCGTGCTGCATTTTTAGTTTTTGGTCCCCTGTTGGCCAGAACACGCAGGGTTGAAGTGTACAAGCCAGGGGGTTGTAAAATTGGGAAGAAAGGCAGACCAGTTGACTATCATATACAAGCGATGAAGGACATGGGAGCCGAATTGATTAAAGAGAGTGCTGAAGTCGTCTCTATGAGGGCAGACTCTGGTCTAAAACCTGCAACAATCACGTTTAAGAACAGTTCTGTTGGTGCGACGGAAACTGCCATAATGGCTGCAAGCCTAGTGAAAGGTATAGTCTAAAGGTGGTATTAGAAAAAAGACAAAGAAGTGAATTGGTTGATATATTGAAAACGTGTTAGCCGTTAAGGTCTATAAACCAAATAGGCAACCACTTTAGTAATTAAAATACTTACTATGTATACTCATTGCAACCAAATAACAAATTATCGATCTTATATAAAGCAAACTAATGTATTACCTGAGGTATACTATATACCTGCCTAAGTGATCAATGAATTGACTATCAAATATTGCAAACACAGCAAATGACTATAATTGACTTGTGAAGTACTCAAACACTCAAAGAAATAACCGACTAATTTAACTAACAATACCTAATTATAGCACTTCTAATTAACAAATTAATTAACTAACTAATTAATTAATTAACTAGGTGAGGTGACCAACCACGATATGTTATCCACCTGACTGTCCGACATGCATGTTTCAGCACGAACTGATAAGCTAGAACTAAAAAAGCATAACTATTACTTCTTAAGGTGAAACGGTGATCCGAAATGCGGCGATTGAACCAGAAATATGTGACTTGGTTAAGATGCTGGCAGAGATGGGTGCACAAATCACCATTGAAAAAGATGTGTTAATCTCGGAAAAAATTACTCCGTTTGGAATAACAGAAAAGATAGCGAAATGGAATGTGATTAGAGTCCGTGGATGCAAGTCTCTTGAAGGTGTCACTCATCAGGTCATGCCTGATAGGATTGAATTTGGTACTTACGCCATTGCTGCAGCTATGACCAATGGTAGGTACCATGTTATGGCTTTAAAGAAACACCTTTATCAGTTTTAAACAAATCTCATACAAAGTCCAGGAAGGGTCAGGGACGCCGGAACGATGTAAAGGCAAGGGGGGCAGATTTTCGTGAAAGGGCACTTTTGAATTGATATCTGACTAAGAGATGCTGCAAAATATCGGAAGTTGAACTTCGCCTAATCATGTTTTCTATTTATTGGATGATAGGGGTGCGAGGGGGTTCTCCGCCAGGCGATTGTGCTATTCTTGAAGCTCGATGACTGCATTTCTTGCGTTTTCTGAAGCAAATTTGTAAAAGAATCGCACTAACATTTCTGACAATTCGTTATCCCGCCAAGGCAATCCTTTAAATTGAAAGGGCGCCTTTTGCCCCCTTGCCCCTCCTGGTAAAGGGCAACGGGCGCGGCTGCCCCTCCTGCCCCCCAGTTCCGGCGTTCCTTGGAAGGGTCATCCTTAGTTAGTCCCGTGTTAGTACATGAAGAACTTGGAGTACTCGACAGTGTGGTAAAAATTACCAAAAAATAGAGTAACAATTTAAATTACTTCTCAAAAAAGGTAATTATTATAAATTACAAATTACCTCCTTCAAAAGTAATTAATTACGAATGACGCGAAAGACACATGCTGTCACTGGGCAACCAAAACCGCAATAGTTGAGCACACTATACGTCCTTTTTAGCGCCCTTTCCTATAAATTATCGCATTCTCAAACAGCCTTTCAAACTATTAATTTCAACGTACGAATTTAGGTAAAGTTGAATTTGAAGTTCCAGAAGACATGAAAGAAGACATGTTGAAGGCGATATGCCAGCCGCTTGATGCCGCTGGAGTTAAAATAGATCGCTACAGCCAATATGGCCTAATTGTAATCTCACTAAAGAATGGCACCATTACACCGGTTGATATCAAAACAGGTCCTTATCCTGGTTTTCCCACTGACCTTCTACCACAATGGGTGGCATTCATGACCCAAGCACAAGCCACAATGACAAAAGAGTACGCAATCATACATGATAAAATCTATGATGGTCGTTTCAACTATGTGGATGGTTTGAAGAAAATGGGAGCCGTAATTGAGAAAGTCAATGAAAGAGAGTATGGAGTGAAAGCAGGTACAATAAAGATTATTACAGTAATAATAGTACTAGAATATGTGAGGGGCAAAGGAGATATTAATTACCCCTGTCAGATTTTGTGATGAAATTGAATCATGGAGATTCTAAGCCCGTTTTACATATAGTAAGCTCTCTATATATATATATATATTTGAAGCAAGAACTTCAGTCATTCGGCCTATAAGAAAAGCGAAGCCAAAATTGTGGAATTGCTGTCCAATACATATGAATGTTGTAAACAGGTTTAATACAACCCCCCCCCCCCAGCTATTCCATTTTTTTTCTAATTGCTAATCAAGTATTCAAATTATCAGTTCATAAAACCGTTATATTACTCCTTAAATCGTAGTCAAAATACGAAATTTCGGTACACTAGTAAAACAATAGAAAGAGACTGTCTAAAACTGACGTCAAGTAGCTCCATCTTTGGCTTTACGTTTTGGACTCGAGGCAGCCTAGACCTAGGCCTTCTATTTTTATTTATATTTTTTTAATATTCAGCGCTTTTTCACATGAAAAGACTGGGACTAGGTAATTAGGGGGCGGAGGAAGGACACAAGCCTGACGCAAGCGATTCCTCCGCCCCGCCCCCAAATCACCTAGTCCCAGTCTTTTCATGTGAAAAACCGCTGAATACTAAAAAATATAAATAAGACTAGAAGGCCTAGGTCTAGGCTGGACTCGAGGTACAAAGCCTGAAAAAACATCAAATTCAACCAAAATTTGATATGCTTACCCATGACAAACTAGCCTGCTCGCAGGCTAATGACAAGCGTACAGTATGGACTTATCTTACTGACAAACAAATACAAAAGCAAACCTAGCTATAGGTGAAAACTTACTGCCTAGTGCTTCCTGGCCAAAGTACTAAAGTAATATGGATTAGTCACAACTATAAGTCCTACAAGCTTAAGTTTAAAATAATGCATGTTATTTATGACAGGTTCAAAGCTGAACGGGACTCGTGTTGAGGCTACAGATCTTCGTGGCGGAGCGGCCTTAGTCCTTGCTGGACTGGTTGCTCAAGGCTCAACAGTGGTACGAAAATTTGAATTCATCCAGCGTGGTTATCAAGACATGGTGGGAAAATTGAATAAATGTGGTGCCAATTTGAAGATCCTTAAAGAAACCCGTCCTGGTTTTCATGGTGGACCAGGCCATTTCTAACTTTCGTTAATTGTTACACTTAATTAATAATTGTTTACACTTCTATTTCTAACTTTTGTTATTTGTTAATCAGTTTCATTTAAGACATTTGTCACATTTAGCTTAGCAATTTTATCACGAGGGCCTTTCTAACTTTCAATGATCATGCCTATTATTAAACTTGATCTTTGCCGTCTGCTATTAGTTGGGGCATTAATTTAGAGCTTAGCATTTTTATTGTTTTCAGTCTATCTTTAATGTAAACGTTGTTGTAGTTTTCAAGTATTAAAATCTTCATTATTCATCACATCTGACTCGTTCTCAGTCCTGTGTTGAATGATGGGTATGCATCCCCAAAGGTTAGAGCATTAATTCTCATTTGCCCAGTTGCGAGGCAAGGGGAAGGGAATTGGCTTGCAGCAGAAGAGCTTGGCGGAAGGGGTGTATAGGGGGCAAATGTTTCAAGAAAACTGCCATTCAACAGCCTTCCAAATCTTACAACATTAAAAATACAATTGATAGCCGTCTAGAGACTACAGAACGATAAAAAAATTAGAAACCGCAGAGGATTTGGTTAAAATAACCAATTTGAATTGGTCGTCTCGGATGCACTTATTTGACCAATATTGTTTTGGTTGAAACAACCAAAAAATGGGTTATTTTCATCAATTTCTCGGTTGTTTTAACCAAATAATATTGGTCAAAAGAAAATGCTCTATGAGACAACCAATTCAAATTGGTTATTTCAACCAATACGTTTCAGTTACAAGGACAATGTACAGCGGTATTAGACAAACTGTCAGGCATGATTTGTTCCTGCAACGTACAATTATCGATATAATCGTGTAAAATCAGTGACAAAATTCGTGGACCGGTTAGGTTGAAACATGCAGTAAAATAAATCATCTTCCCCATGTTGGCATGTTCAATGCTGTGAAACTAAATTTACATTTTATCTGAAGTGCATGGCTTTGTCTTCCATTGTGTCGTTGCTCAGCCGACATAAACCGCTACAATTGAAACTGAGGCTGGAAACACTTTCAAAGTGTCCTACCATTCATTGTCGCTGATTATAGCTGACAGGCTGTCTTCTTTTTACCGTTAAATGTAAGATGGATGACCCATTTATGTGTATAAATCATTGACAGTACCGTATTTTTTTCCACAGCCGGCCCGGGGAAGACCCTGAATTTGCATATATGTTTTAAAAATATAAATGTATTGGAGCACGGCATGTATCCTGGCATAAAAATTTCAAATATATGATACTTTAGAAGGTTAGAATGTTAAAAACCTATATCATTAAATTTATTGATAAAATATGCACCTTTACAATTGAAACTAGGGCTTTAAACGTATTATACAGGCTTCACATTTCAAATTTTCCAAATCAAAATAATAATAATATATTATTCTTACATCATAATTGCGCTCTCCTGCGGTTAAACTACTGCCGATTATTGCCAAGCATTGCACAAATTTTTTTCATGAGTCACTCTACAAAAAAACTATATTCGAAAAAATTCCCTGCAAGATTACATTTTTTGCCAAAAATAAAACCTTTCCTGTTTATAAAAGCGAGTCGAATTGTTAGGTCCCTTCATAGCGTATCCGTACCAGTAGAACAAAAATTGTTTCAAACTGATTGAAAAATATATAGTCACAAAAATGCCTAAACTTATGGTAACGGGAGGACGTAGACTCCAAGGCAAAATCAAGATTTCTGGAGCAAAAAATGCCGTTCTGCCACAAATGGCAGCGAGTTTACTGACGAGGGAAAAAGTCACTTTAACGAACGTGCCTAACATTACTGATGTGAGGGATATGAAATCGACCTTAGAGGCGTACGGGGTAGCTGTAGAGCCTGATGATTGGAACAAATTTGATGGTACTTTAGAACTACAAGCAGGTATGCCAGCCGCGTAAGGTCTGAATGAACGTGTATTATATTAATTTTTCAGCGATTTTTTGGGCCACGAATCGGCTGGATTTTTAAATTTGAATTCTAAGCGAGTTGATAATGTAAGGTCAAGGTATTCTTAATATTTTTTTTTTTCCTTGGGGGAGGGGGAGTAATTTAATAATTTGTGAGTCACAACTCTAGGTGGGTTAGTGGCATGCCTCCGTGAATAAATTGTGGAGAAATATGTAAAGATCTTAAAAACTGGGAGACTTAAGCCCCGTTTACACTACGCTCAATTTTTGGTACGGCACGGATAAAATTGGTACCCATACCACTTTTTTGCTTCTTGGACTATCTATTTAGGTAGTCCAAGAACCAAAAAAGTGGTACGGTACCAAAAATCGAGCGTAGTGTAAACGGGGCTTTAGCCACATAGAGCTTTATTGTATTTTGATCCGCCACTGGTATTTTGATCGGGATATACCTATTTAATTAATTCATTTTATAAAGGTTTGAAATTTTTGGTTTCGTATTGCCTGAGGATCTCGACTTTTACCAGAATAATTTGGCCTTTAGGGGAACGGTACTGTTTCTTATGACGGAAAACCCCCTGAAAAAACCATCGAAGAACAAGAAAGAACCAACCAACCAAGGGTTGGACACGAATCTTCAAGCGCAATTGCAAACTTAGCAAGACGAGTTTCAGGAACAGGCTAAACTCAGCTGCAAGGGTCAGCACGCTGAATAGTCTACCATACAATTGCATTCTAATTTACTTACTGGTATTTTCTTTACATATAGACAGCCCGACATCATCACTGCCAAGTATCAATGTACGCACGGATATCCGTGCATCTTTTCTTGTCTTTGGACCTCTATTAGCAAGAACTGGCGAGGCTGAGGTGTATAAGCCAGGAGGATGTGACATTCAAAAAGAACCGAGAAAAGTCGACTACCATATACAAGCAATGAACAATATGAGTGTGCAGGAAAAGCCATCCATTGAAGAAACCAACATCTCTGTCAAAATGGAGATGGAAAACGGTCTAAAACCTGCAGCAATCACGTTCAAGAAAAGCTCAGTTGGCGCAACGGAAACTGCTATGATGGCTGCTAGTCTGGTGGAAGGTACTTTGTGTGTGTGTATGGTCCACTAGTTTAATTAAAATGGTTAAGCACCTAACCATATGAGGCAGTGGTGGAAATTCACTTTTCCCGGGGGGGGGGGCAAAGCCTCCTAAATTTCCGACAAAACTTTCAAATTTCCGACATACCCCCCATTTGCACTCGAAAAGACTGTTTTTACACTCGAAAAGATCCTCTTTTAGATCAAAATTTCTGAAAATTCGTCAAATCTTGGTGGGGCGGCCGCCCCCCCCCCCCGCCCCACCAAGATTTCCGCCACTGATAGGAGGTGGCAACTTCTTACCCACCCAACTTATCCATGACCACCTATCTTCTTAATTACTTACCTATCCACCTACCAATCTTACCCACCCACCTATCCATGACCACCCACCCAAGGCGCCCCAGGAATGTTCTATTGAATGAGAATTCCAATTAAAACAATGAATTTTTGCTACTTAAGGTGACACCGTAATCAGACATGCAGCAATTGAACCGGAGATATATGATTTGGCTAAGATGTTGGAAAAGATGGGTGCAAAAATCAACATTAATGAGAATGTGGAAATTGCTGAAGACGACCTCACTGACTTTGGTATATAAGAAGAGGTGTGGAATGTGATCACAGTCACTGGACGCAAGTCTCTCCGAGGTGTGAGCCATCGGGTCATGCTCAACAGTTGTACACGATTTTCAACGCATCCAGCGTGGTTACGAAGACATGGTGAAAAAATTGAATAAATGTGGTGCCAAGTTGCAGATCCCTGACGATGCACGTGATGGTCATCATGGTGGAGCAGGTGCTTTCTAATTAGGACTTTCTAATTATGACTTTCTAATATAATTATGGCTTTCTAATTATGACTTTTTAATATAATTATGACTTTCTAATTATGACTTTCTAATATGATTACGACTTTCTAATTATGACTTTTTATCGTCTTTTCACTTGTTAAATAATTAAATCAAGACATTTACTCTTAGCAGTTTTATCATGACTAACTTTTTAACTTTCAATGATTATGACTATTAATTGTTCTTTGCTCTGTTAGTGTCAATATAGTTGCAGGAGACATTTAGTTTAGCACTTTTATCGTTTTCTATCAGTTTTATGTAAACTTTGTTGTACAATAATTTGTATTCAAGCATTAGCCGTCATTAAGATCTTCATTAAATTTTATTTGACAAAATTGATCTGAATAAAAGTGCACCGCTAAAAGAGATACATCCTATCAAGTCGATGCTACAAAAATCATCTATATTCATTCTCTTTTTGAACTCCTCTAGAAAGCCGACCAGTAGGCAGTGGGACCTTAAACAACAGGGTGTCCCAAGTCCCCCTATAGAAATCACTCTTTTGTTGTTAAACGTGCGTTGTTATATGTACCTCTGGGAATTTTAAATAGCTTCTAAAACGAACAGCAACACAAAAATGTCAAATTACAAATTCGTCTTACCATCAGTTCGAGTAAGAATCAATGGTTCAACTCACTACAGACAGCCTCAGTGCAAGCATATGTGTAATATGTCGACTTTTCCCACTGAATCGAAATCCGCCTTTAATCACTATTTAACTACAAAATAGTGATTAATTAAAAAAGTGATTAAGACTTTTATCAGTGCAACCGGCCTCTGCAAGACCGGATAAGCAGAATTTCGACCTTTCGAGCGAAAGACCTTCATGTCTTGATAAACGACGAAGGGCCTTCGATAGAAACGTCGCAGTTCTGTTTATATTTTCAGGCAGTTGTCTATCCTTCAAAACGCAGCTGTCTGTCATCTTCTATTCTTGACATGCAATCAATCCCTTGAGAATTAGAAGACAATGTCAATGGCATGGAGGCCATGTTCTTTTGTTGAAACGGGACCAACATGGCCGTCGCCCACATCATTGCAAGTCAAGAATTTCGTTATAACGTCAAAGCCTTGGTTCCATAATATGCGTCGTAACGAGATTGAGTCACGGATCGTTCTCATCAGCCGAAACAACATTTTAGAACTGAAAATACGCGGAGTGGTTATAACTAGAGAATACTTACGATTTGATATGTGGTTTACAGCTATAAACCATTATAACTGGCCGTTTGGAAAGATCGTGACTCTCTTTTTACGACCAACCATGCCAGACAAACAATCCATACGCCTAGTTGAGTCTATAGTAAGTCTAGTAAGAACGAGCGCGATGCCGATGATTTAATGCTTGGTTCTGAAAACAAACCATGCCTGATGGATAGCAACTACTGAACTTAGTGATACTGGCACTGTACCTTTTTATCAGCACAACTTTACATGTCGCCAATTCCGTGTTGGGATGGCAGTAAATTAGTGACTATAGACACCAATCTCAGAAACGACAGAAGTCGCCATGCCAATTTCATGGGTTTGATTCGAGCAACTTCGACTTCGTTCAAATTGTTAAACTAATATGGCTATAATTTCAATTTGACAATTGACATAGTGTGTCTTGTATATCCTATGGTTATATGACAGCATTAAAGCCCAGAAACTTGTCAAACATCAAAGCAACAACCACCAACTAGAGTTACTAGACCATCCAAAAACACCCGTGCATTATTTAATCAGAATTCAATCATCTACAGGACTGCACAGCCGACTGCACAACCAATCCCCCTGGGTTTCTAGAGACAAAGAGATTTTTGCAAGTAGGATGAAATTTTAATAGACCATGCATTCTTATAATGCGAGGTCCCAAGGACAATTTTTAGCAACAATTCGCAATGCAAATGTTTTTATGAAATTTAGGCAGCGTTTACACGTACCGTTTTCGTAGCGTTCTCGTATTGTTCGAGAGAACTAGACTATTGTCTTGCGTTCCCTTGAGGATTAAGAACAATACGAGAACGCTACGAAAACGGTACAGTGTAAACGCTGCCTTATTGGCTCGCCAGCGACTCAGCATTGTCCTGTGCCCCTGTGGGACATCGCATCGAAACGTGAAAAATCAGCACGCGGGCACGCCAAGAAAGTTGAATGCACTTCTACTTTCATGGCGTGTCCGCGAGCATGCAGGCGGACAAAAAATGCACAGGATAGACAACTACAGAAACTGAGTTGAAAGGGACCGGTCATTATTTATGGTGGGGGGTGGCACCGAAGAGAAATGTTTTTCGTGGCAAAAATTTTGCTGACCCAACCATTAAAAAATCAAAAATTTGATTACCCAACCTCAAGTATCATTTAAAAAATAAATACCCACCCCTGGCCAAAAACGTTACAAAAGGATGTGTTGGTGTTGTGTACTCAGGTGAATATGAAGTTTGTGTCACACATGTCCTTTACCACTTCTGTGATACGTTTGATAACGTTTGGCTTGTGAATGTTTGATAGTTTGATGACGTTCGGCTTGTGAAATTTACTGACTTTTCTGCAGTCTAAAGTTTCATGTTGTCTGCACATTCACTTTTTTTGGAGACACCATTTGTCTCCTAACAAATCGGAAAATGATGAAGATAGTGACTCTGATTGATTCACATATTGTATTGACATATGACTGTTGACATTGAAGTTTTCAGTACTCAATATTTGAGTGAGTCATGCTTTGGAAATGACAAGAAATTTTTATTACCCAACCTTTGAGTTGTTTCGTTTTTCATTTACCCAACCTTTTACTCACTCAAAATTTTGTTTACCCAACCCTTTTCTCTTCGGTGCCACCCCCTGCCAAAAATAATGACCGGTCCCTAATGTTCGCTCCGCCCGCTCGGGCAAAGCGACTGCAATGGGAAATTGCCTTTAGCTAAATCTGTGCGTTGTTGATTTTATTGTTTTCTTGGTCTACATACTTTATAGACAACTTGAAAGGAGCCGCTACTCTCTAGAGCAGAGGCAGGGCGCCCTGGCAGAGGGAATAATGAACTCCGTCAATACACCGGTCTATTGCGTTCTGGACACTCCAGTTTATCTAAATAGGACATCATTTTTGCCTACACGCAGGCAAAAACTAGGAGGCTTCGCTCCTTTAGCTCGCGAGTTCCGGCATTCACAACAAAATTTCACTAAAATCTATATTTATGTGTAATAAAATGTATTCAATTTACATGTATATACAGAAGTAAAAATGGACGATCTTGTCGTAAAAGACATGAAAATAGTTCCTTGTGTAAATTCAAAATTTGTTCAACCTTCAAGGCTTCAGTTTAACCAAGTACGTAGTACCGCACCAAAATAGATGGTTGATTTTATTTTCATGTGTAATAATTTGCAACATTGATACTTGAGTTATGTATTTCATAGAATGGAATTAACCGAGAATGGGATTACATCAATGTTCATGACAGTGTGGCTGCTCTGCTGTTAAACACAACAAGAGATGCATTTATTTTGGTCAAACAATTTAGACCAGGTGTGTGACATAAAGTGAGTTATAGCACAAGCAGGCTCTCATGAAACTCCAAAAGTGAGTTAAAGGCCCATTTACACTACGCTCAATTCAACCTCGTTCCCAGTGTCTCACCTCCGCTCACCCAGGCGTGGCGGAGGTGAGACCCTGTGAAACAGGTTGCGCTCAATTTTGGTACCCGTACCATTTTTATCCATGCTCAGACTACTTGTTTACAAAGGTCGAGCATGGATAAATAATAAATTTGGTAAATTGGTACATGTACCAATTTTATCTGTGCCTTTCCAAAAATTGGCTAGCTCGTATACCCAGCTAGCTTGCTTTTTTGGAGGCAAATTTCACCCATATGTTTGCACTGAGTGTGTCCACATTGGGCAAGCTGAAAAGTTTGCTTGATTGAGGTGGTCTATGTCTTCACATGAGTGCTATGTACGTTCACCCATGCTATTCTAAACAAACCATATAGACCACTATACCATATTTAAGATTAATTATCATTACTTTATATTTTCAAGCTGTATACATGCGGATGAACAGAGAACTAAACAAACAAGAGGGTGAAGATAAATCGACCATAATCCAGGATTCTACCTCACAGCCTTTCAAAGCTGCAATAAATGATGCTGTCACCTACGAGTTATGTGCGGGCATTGTTGACAAAAATATTCCATTGAAATCAGTCATGAAAGAAGAAGTTTTAGAAGAATGCGGATATGATGTGCCTGAATCACACTTCAGGAAAGTTTTCTCGGCTTGGGGCTCAGTCGGGTTTGCCGGCTCACTGCAGACTTTGTTTTTTGCCGAAGTGACCAATGACATGAAAGTTAATGAGGGTGGGGGTAACAGGTCGGAGGGTGAGAAAATAGAAGTTTATTATTTACCAAGGAAGGATGTTCTAGCCTTTTTGTATGACGAGAATTTACCAAAACCACCATCACTCATGGCAGCATTTTTCTGGTATCTAAACACTCAGCATACATCAAATAATGACCACTGATATTAAATATAAAAGAATGCAACATGCTCTGGCTGCTTAGAATGTTGGAGAATGCTATTGTATGGACTGGTGTTTACTAAAAAAAAGCTCGCTAAAAAATTAATTATATGTATGACTATCACTCCTGTGCAGCCAATTTGAGAGCAAAGGACCTGCCATTTTCTACCGGCATAGCATTGCACATAACATTATGGTGGCCTATATAGAATTCAGAAAGCCTTACATAAAAAGCCAAAGGCCGATTGTTATATATTTATAGCATGTCCCCTGTGGGCCACCATAGTTAGTTAATTCCATAAAATGTAATAAAATATTAATAATTATCTTTGTCATTAAAAATCGAGTACAAAAATGAAGTCTGAAATGTTATATATTTCTATATAAAGATATTGTGACTCTGTAATTCATATTTCCAACACTCCATGACTGGACAGATCTTGAAATTGGGCATTTAGCGTCACTACACTGGTGTAAATATATGTAAGACTTATACTTGTTAAAACATTTTTCATGTTGTCACAAGTGTAAATGCCGACAACTCCAAAAATTCTACACTCCACAAATTTAAGAGCATGTGCAGTAAAGTTTATAATCGTGAATAACGAGACTGGTGGACAACCATCTCTCTTGAAATATCTTTCAGACTTGCACATCCTAAACAAAGCAAAATCTGTTAGTTTTAAAATGAGGGTTAGACAGACCACATCTAGAATAACCTGTGACTTGGTCATGTGAGTTACTGTGATTTGGCTGAATAAGTTTGAATCTCACCCATCAGGCCCATCGCCAATCTAAATTCTTCTTTTAAGATCTGAAGAACTTTATACACGCCTTCCTCTCCCTAAAATTCCCAAGAAACAAATATTGAGTGAATGCATGAGTACTAGGATTTTGGTGGTACAGTGCCTAGTGCATGAACATGCAGGTAGGTTCATGCGAGAAGAGTGCTCTCTACCAAATACTGCAGTTTGTTTTCTGAAAAAAAATTTCAGTCAGTGTACCATTTTAAAATTTCAGTCAGTGAATTTCAGTCAGTCAAAAAAATTTCAGTCAGTGTACCATTTTAGGGGTAAAGAAAAAATTTTCGGACGCAAAATTTTGCCGGACGAGTACGTTGCAAACGCTTTCGAGTGACTTTATCTCATTTTTTTAGGCCACAATTCGGTACTCAGCCCAAAAAAACAAATATCTTGTCCTTTGCGCGGAAATATTTAACACACAAAAAAGGTGGGGCCCCTACAAAAATTTTTCAGGGGCCCCCAGCAACTTGGGGCCCGGGGCAAATTGCCCCCTTTGCCCCCCCCCCCTCTGGGCGGCACTGATTTAGGGTAATTTACATTTAACTGAATCAATTCAGAACCCATTGAGTGGCAGCACTATATATAGCTCTCCCTTTGACAAGTAAAAGTAGGACTAAAGTAGGGTGCATTCCAATTAAAGGGTTATCACGATCCATGCATGGGCAGATGGGAGCACCCTCCCCTTGGTAATAAGTAACATTGTCTTGAGTTAGAGTAAACTAATAATGAAGTAGGGCACATCAGGTTGCTACAGGGTTAAATTGATAACTCAGAGCCTTTATATTTACTTGATAAGATAACCCCCATAACACAGGTCGTCCAATAAATACAGCTCTTGCACCCAAAGCTAAAGCTTTAAAAACATCAGTGCCATATCTAATACCACCATCTACATATACTTCACACTTATTGTTAACTGCTGCTATAATCTCTGGAAGAACTTCAATCTAAAATTTAAAAGAAACTAAAGTTAAGTAGAGTTACTTTTCCAGGATATGCAATGTTCTCATGCTTATGCCCCACGAAAGCCACGCCCCTCAAGTTCCTCTCTCTCTGGGCAAGTTCTATCTGGCTGTATCACTTACAGGTGCTGGTACAGTATCCAACTGTCGTCCGCCATGGATAGAAACAAGGATACCATCAACTCCATGTTGTACCGCCAATCTCGCATCTTCAGCTGTCAGAACTCCTTTTAATATGACTGGTAGTTTAGTTGCAGACCTAAGCCAATGAAATGACCAGCTATTCAGCTATTGCATGCTTATGTATTATACACCATATGTAATTTACACCCAGTCTTTAACCATTGAGTACATGCAGGGGCCGCAGAAGCATTTCGAAAGTGGAGGGGCATTGGCCAAAAGGGGTAGTTTTGTATATGACCGAAATCAAACAATTTTATGTTGTTCATGAGCCAAACGAAAATTTTTGAACATATGGAGTCTCGATAATGTTGGAAATGGCCTTCACAGAGTCTTTACTAGTGCAAAAAGGGCACTTTCTTTTCAGCAAAAGATGGCGTTCATTCAAGAAATACTTTTTCCGTTCTTTAATTTAAATGGGGCACTTTAGCCCAGAAAAAAGGGCATTTTTTTCACTTTTAAAAAAGTGGGGGGTGGGGCACATGCCCCCATTGCCCCCCCAGGTTCCGCTGCCCCTGAGTACATGAGCACTCTCCCCTTGACAATTAAGTGAAATTGTCTGGTATTAGAAAGAGTAAAATAATGATGTAGGGCGCATTACGGCACAATGAATTATCTGACAGGGAGCAGCTAGGAGGGGCAGATAAGGGCACTCCCTTGGATACTATACTGACCTTAACCATTGAATCATATCCCATGTATTTTTAGGGTTTACACCAGTAAGTTCTTCTTCAGTTGCAGTATCAGGATTGTTCAAGACACAGTTGTACGACTCCACATTAATGTACGAGAGGTGAGGAGGCATGTAAAGAGGATCTTTGGTAGTACTCCCTCGATACGGAGCATCAACTGTCACAACAAGGGCTTTATAACCTTCCTTCTCTGCTCGATGGATGCGACTTAAGTTATCATTTTCATTTGTTAACATATACATGTGGAACCACTTCAAGCCCTTTGGGGAACTTTGCGCAACTTCTTCAATCGTGGATGTAGCCCAAGTACTGAGAACCATGCAAGAACCAGCACGATAAGATGCTTAAAAATGCAATTACTTTGAAGATAAATTTCTAACTATTATTACAAAAATCATAGACTGCAATAGAGTCAGTAAAATACAATGTAGAGTATGACAGGTTAAATGAGTGGACAATCTAGTAAATTGGAGTTAAACAGTTAACCAATTAAGGGAAAAGGTTCCAAATTTTGTGTCTGGGGGGGGGGGGACTAAACTAGTATTGAAACTTTTACTGGTGTTTGTGATGTTACTCTGAGTGTATACCCACACTGGGCGAGCTTGAAAAATATGCCCGGCTATGGTGGGAATGAAACCTACGACCTTTGGAATACTAGCTCAATGCTCTGCCAACTGGGCTACGCGGTCAGGTCAGTTCGAGTAAGTGATATTTTGGAACAGAATAGTTACACAGTTTTATAGTCACACTTTATTGTAACTGTCTCTCCAAGAAAAAATTCAAATAATCAAGTTTACTATGAAAACAAATCCTGGCATTGGCGTAGCCAGCACAACAATTTGGTCCCACTATGCAAATTGCAACTCATCATTATTCACTTCTTTAGAAATTGATTGTTGATATAGTTTAAAAACATGGTAATATTTGCATAGCAGAACTGAATTGTCAGGCTGGCTACGCCACTGAATCCCGGCCCCCTGCTCCTCATTAATTGGACAATAAAAACAGCTCATTAAGGACTAGTGATTGACTGATAATTGGTATTGGGCCAATTTTTGCCTTATCAGTGAACAATTGGAATCCATAGAAGACCTATCATTGAGAAAATGACACTTTAAAAATTTGATACAAATGTGTTGATCTAGACGTTGCGTTTTAAGACAATACGTCAGCATGACAAAATTAATCTGTGAAGCATGCTATTTATGAATGATGTTAACAAACTTTTGCTGAATCACGCTATGTTGGAAATTATCGGTGGATTAATGCCACCTTTGCAAGATTGACTGACATTAATTATGATGTTATTATAAAATTGCTATAGGGTAGATTGTTACATGAATAACTGGTAATTTCTGATTGTGGCACAATTGGTCAATCACTAGTTACTACCAGTAATTAGGATGTAGTTACCTTTAGCGGTAGCAATTTCACCATTGGGATGAGCTAATTTTTGCACAGCTGTTGGAGCAACACATATTGGAAAGTCAATTTTATCTCCAAGAATTGATGTTGACATATCGATACTGGATACATCTCGTAGAACTCTTGGACGTAACCTTAACCTGATTGGTTGTTAATAATTATTAGAGAACCCAATCAATCACCTGGATCTTTATAGCATGTGGTCGGTGGAAAATATGAAAATATCACCCATGTCCCCCCCCCCC